CCCCCCCCCAAATAAAGCTCTAATACTGGGTTTTGTTGTGGCTCATGCCTCATGACCTTTCTGCCAGGTAAACAGCGCCACTTAACATTTTTAAAACAACCAATTCCAGCTTGAAAATTGACACACTGGGTTTCGGAAGTCCAAGACCATTCAAAAGATCAACCATAGAGAAATGTGAAACTTGGGCTGTCCCAGGAACTCGGGGACATGTGCCCAGCGTGAGCCGGGGGAGGGGGAAGGACTGATGTGGACCCCACCTGGAGAGGCCAGGGTGTAGGCGGGAGGTGTGTGAGCTGGCTCAGCTCTGGCTGGGAGAATCCAGCCCTCCTGTGCACACAGGCCTGCCATAGTACACCTTGTTCTGGCCTGTTCGGGTCACTGAACCCAGGTGACTGGCAGTTAAGTTCTCCAACTGGCCAAGATCCAGGCTGGACTTGCTTACCGGTGGCCCAGGGCATCCACTCACACTGAACCTGTTTTTGTTTTTTTTTTCCCTCTGAGACAGGGTTTCTCTGTGTAGCTTTGCACCTTTCCTGGAACTCTCTCTGTAGCCCAGGCTGGCCTCGAACTCACAGAGATCCGCCTGGCTCTGCCTCCTGAGTGCTGGGATTAAAGGCATGCGCCACCACCGCCCGGCCCTGAACCTGTTTTAAAGCAGATACTCAAGAAAGGACAGGAGGCAGGCTCCCCCTGTAGCGGGTGAGGACAGTGGTTCCCATCCCTCCGAGAATTCCACGGTGGATGAGAATTCCAAAGTGCACTGTCATTGTGTGTGGTCTCCCAACTGCCTACACAGCTCTCTAGGCATGACCTTCCTAAATAAGGTTAGGGAGGACACCCACAGGAATTGATACTGCCAAGTCATTGTTGTGTTAAAAATAAGCTTCGACTTTCAACACAGGGAGGATTGCCCTTCACTATACCCTACCCTGAGACCATGTGAGTCCATGGAGGGGTCCACTTCAGGAAGGCCAGGGTCATCTAAGATGAGCTGGTCATCCCAAGGTGGGGATCATCACAGAGGGGGTCAGCTTAGTTGCACTAAGTCCAATAGCACACCCAGTCTCCAGCCATTAACCTAGACTCTTCTAGAACAGTGGTTCTCAACCTTCCTAACGCTGCAACCCTTTAAAACAGTTCCTCAGCCGGGCGTTGGTGGCGCACGCCTTTAATCCCAGCACTCGGGAGGCAGAGCCAGGCGGATCTCTGTGAGTTCGAGGCCAGCCTGGGCTA